GGTTCGGGTCCCAGGTGTGGACATGGCACCACTTGGCAAGCCATGCTGTGGCAGGCATCCCACATATAAAGTGGAGCAAGATGGGCATGAATGTTAGCTCAGGGCCAGTCTTCCTCAGCAAAAAGTGGAGGATTGGCAGCAGATGTTAGCTCAGGGCTAATCTTCCTCAAAAAAAAAAAAAACAGAGGAAATCCCATTTTGACTTTCTGACTTTTGAGTCTATCAAGAGATCTGGGATAACTTCCCCCAAATCTTAAAGCTTTATCAAATCTGAGTTTGCAACTCTATGTTGCAACTCTGTTCCAACATAATAGTCCCTCCCAAAATCACGTAAGCTACTATAATAAGCAGAAGAGAACTAATGATCACTGAGAAAATGTCTGCCGGAATATGGGCTATATCTTTTCCACGTCACCTAACAAAATCTTCACATTTCCATGAGTCAGCTAGATCAATTATTGGTAAACGTTTAGCACTCAGTACATGTTAGCTGCTATTATGATTACCATCATTTTTCCTGATTCTGTCCCAGGGGGCCTCAGGTCTCAGAACGCAATCTTCATATTCCTATAAGACGCTTCTAGAGGTTTCTCCACACACCTCTTGTATTCAAGCATGGGATCTTCAGGAGCAGATAACCACACTCACCCACAGAGCAGAGAATAGAAGCCACAGAGAGGAGTGAAGGAACAAGAAAGCACAAAGGTGAGGCTGGAATGCTCCGTGGACAAGCAGTAATAAGAGGAGGGGATGTCTGAGGGCTGATAACAGGAGCTACTCCATGGAGACAAGGGCGGCAATGAAGTCAACCCATTTCAGAGACACGTTGACAGGAGACGGGACTGGGATGGGGGGGTGTTTCAGTAGGGAACATGAAATGAAGTAGTTCATTGGGAGAATTATCATTGTCCTCCAACTGAGTTCAAAAAGTAGCCCTGATGGCATTATTCTCTTTTATACCAAACTTGTGGTCATCAAAGTTGAAGAGTTTTCAGTGCATGTTAATAAGTGTTAATGGATCAACAAATCCTGCCCAGAGAATTGGCCTTTTCTGAGTGGTATCTCCTCTGTTCCTATTTTAACTTGCCCTCCTCTCTGTCTTGCAAATGGCTGAGCAAGTATCTTAGAAATAGGTGGGTTCAAGAGAGCATGAAAGCATCTGAATGAGGTACGAGCAGAAGCCAGAATGAACTAGGCAGGTGCTCAGGGATTAAATTGCCCTGAAGTAAGGGTTTGTGAGTTTAGAAGCCAATGTGAAGGTAAAGAAGGTAAAGAAATGTTCTCACTGTTTGCCAGTTACTGAGTCCATATCTTAACGCAAAAGGACAAGTCATAGAAGCAAAGAAGCAGGGCTGGAAGAAACCTAAAGATCTCCATAAACTACCCCCACACCTAATGCAGGAGTCTTCACCATCAGCACCTGGTAGAGAGTCCCTAGGAATTTTACCTGGAGAGATAGGGTTGCTTGAGAGAATAGAAATACCTGCCTTATAGCAGAGGAAAATGATTATCAAGTTTTTACTGATAATAAGCTTTGACTTTGTTTTTTGTTTGTTTGTTTTTTAACACGTACTCATTTGCTTTAGGTCTGTCCTGGGATCAAAACGGCCAAGCATAAGTCTTTAAATTCTCTATTCTGTGACACACTTTCGAATGATGCATCCAGCATGTCTTCGTTGTTGTCCACTCCCTCCACCCCACATATGCCCATAAACACTCATACGCTCATAGACACACACATTTATCATATATTTATGATAAATACATATTTATTGTATATTTATCGGTCATATATTTATCACCAGCTTCTCTTCAGCAAAATATGATTTCCCCCTAATTCTATCCTGTTTTGTGTCTTCCCACACACTCTCTCTCAACTAAAAGTGTGATGGTGTCTCTCCATGACTTAAAGTCTTTGATGGCCCTACTATCATCCTCTCAAGCCCTTACTCTGTTCTCACCATCTTTCTGACACAGTTCCCACCACCCCTGCAATGGGGGCCCCACTCAGAGCCTATAGAGGACTAGGGGACATCATTTCCTGCATATGTCAGATACTATCACCATTTGCTTTGTTTGGAATACTCTTATCTCCCATCTTAAAGCCCTCCTCACCCCCTTTCGAGTTTCTACTCTAACTACTAAGCACCTGATAAACCAATTCCTCTGTTAAGACTTCCCTGGCTTTTCAAAAATAAAAAATTGCTCCTTCATCGGTATCACATGTGCCTCATAATTTAAAGTGATAGACATCAAATATTCAATTGTTATGTGAGTTAAAATAAGCAAAGCTCTAAGAAGAGACCTGACACATACTGAGTTCTCTGTGAACACTGCTGCTGCTGTCACTGCTGCTGTCTCCTATGCTCTGCCATTCATAGCAATAAGCACAACACATGGATTACCTGTTGTATTCAACCACAGCACTATGAGACATTTGACTTGTAGAGACCATACTGAAGTTTAAAATACTGAAGCTTGAAAGACACTATTTGAAAGTCACACAGAAAGCCTGATGTCTTGGTTCTCAAGAATTTTCTCAGTATGGCATTATTTTACTCTTAGTAAATTTTTCTTTGCGATAATTTTTTTTTTTGAGTCTTAGCTTTGTTAGCTCATAACCATGATCCTGTAAAAATCAAATATATCTCCCTGTTAATATTTACATGAACCAAGCTAAAGGAAACTGGGGTATGGAAGCAAAGAGATGTAAAAATGTGTGCCTAATATCAAAAACAACAAAACAATGATATAGTGAGGCAAATTATGGTCAAGAGTGCTGAGATCAGGGCAAGAATGCAGTCAATGATTAAATATTGAACAGTATGGAGCTAGATGGTGTCATGAGGCCATCACATAGTTACTGTTTCCTGGAAACGTGAATAGGCCCTGCTACCTACACAGCGATTGGATGAGCACCTTTGTCTCTAGGAGTTTCTATCCTTTATGTTTCTACAAATGATTAGCATCCTCTTTAAAATATTTTAGAAGTTTTTAATACTTCAGACCTACTAATCAAGTCCATTAGGACTCAGTGTTAGGAAGTTGTAAAAACCTATGCTCAGGCCTCTTTTATTTTGGTTTGTAGTCTAAGTCCCAAAGAAACTTCAAATTTCTATTATTTACTATTGTATTGGTGACCTCTCATTGGTCTCCAGAATTTCTCTACAGTTTTGGCTGTATCATTACATTTCATTTCTACATGTTTGCTTATATTTCTTTTTCTTGATCATATTTGCTAGAGTTTCAAATTACATTGATTCTTTCAAAGAAATAATTTTTAAATGCGGTTTATCTTTTTTTATTTCTTTAATTAAAAAGCTTAGGGCTAGCCGGTGGTGTAGTGGTTAAGGGCATGCTCCACTTCAGCTACCCGGGGTTTGTGGGTTCGGATACTGGGCACGGACATACACACCACTCATCAAGCCATGCTGTGGTGGTGTCCCACGTCCACAATAGAGGAAGACTGGCACAGATGTTAGCTCAGAGACAATCTTCCTCAACAACAACAAAAATTATCTTTAATTCATCTTTTTTTCCTATTTCCTCTAGTTTTATTTTGTATTATTTTCTAAATTATTGAGTCTAATGATTTTCCAGGAATTCTTAGTTTGGCAACTATGGACACTTTCGGGGGAATATGGTTAGACAATATGAATTCCAGAAACTCATTAAAAGCTTTGTGTTTTTCCTGACAATAAGGTTCACAGCTTTCATTCTCAGAACACTCCAAAAATTGATAATCATTCATTTCAGTTATATTCCTTGTTTTAAAGAATGAAAGTCTGCATTCACCCATAGAGGGCAGTATAACACCACCTTTAGAATATAAGATCTACAGCCACAGTCTCCATTCCTTGAAACTAATTCACTGCTTAGACCATTTTAATTTGGCTTCTTCTATCATTCTACTGAAATGTCGTTCCAAAGGATTACAACTAACATTTACATCCCTAAGTTAAATAGATGCTTTCCAGTACTCGTTTTCCTGAGCATCTGAGCAGCCCTACACTATGGCGACGGCACCTTTTACCTTCCTGGCGTCTGTGACACTCATTTTTCTTATTTTCTACCCACTTCTCTGAGCAATCCACAGTCTTCTTGGCTTTTACTTCCACATCTACCCAGCTGCCAGATTTTAGGTTTTCTTATAGATCTATCCTCACTCTCCTTCCTTTCTCACCCTAAATTCTCACGTATGTTATCACATCAACTCGAGTTCTCAGCTACCATCAATACACCAAAGACTCCCACAACTCCTCACAGGCTTGTTCTCTGTCCTCTTCTGCCTCAGATCCATTTGCTTAGCTGGTGATTTTCCTGGATGGCTCCTGTGAACATCAAACTCAACATGCACAAACCGAACCTGTGATCTTTCCCCAGAATCTCCTCCTAGTAATGCTCCAGATAAAAGTGGTTGTCACTGTAATCCACATAGGTGCTCAAATAAGACACCTGGGCATCATCACAATTCTTCCTTCTCTCAATAATATTTCCATTCAATTGAATAGAAGCAAGTAGGGAGCAGAATCTTATTTTCCTGTGTGTCAAGTAGAATATGAACTAAAATATATCTCTGGATTTGGTTGTTAGAAAGTTATTTGAAATATTGATGAAAGAAGTTTCAGTTAGTAAATATATAGGTGCAAGTTATATGTATATGTGTGTGTGTGTATATATATATACATACATACACACATATATATACACATACAAGAACTGGTGGGAAATATATTACAAGGTTTGCAGGAAGCATAAAGTTAAATTTTAGTGTGCAGTAGTGGTCATGAAAGTTAAACTAATATGGTAATTTTAAATAGAAATTTATAGCAGAAGTGTCCAAATTTCTGTTTATTAGTGTTCTGGCTAGTGTATTGCTCAGTGGTGTTTGAAAAACAATCCCAGGCACATATTTGGACCACAGATTGAATAGATAATGACTCTATGGCAGCGGCACACTGATGGAATTCTTACTGTTGAACACGCAGATTCTGGTTTTGCATTCATCAAGCATGTCTGAGGTGACGAACACCACCCAGGACTCTTTCTACTTCATCCTCACGGGCATCCCTGGGTTGGAGGCCTCCCACATCTGGATCTCCATCCCCTTCTGTGGTCTCTACATCATTTCCATCATAGGCAACACCACCATTCTCTCTGCCATCTGCACAGAGCCCTCCCTCCACCAACCCATGTACCTATTTCTCTCCATGCTGGCCCTGACTGACCTGGGTCTCACCCTCACAACCATGCCCACAGTCATGCAGCTCCTCTGGTTCAGCATTCGGAAGATCAGCTTTGAGGCCTGTTTTGTCCAGTTCTTCTTCCTCCACGGATTCTCCTTCATGGAGTCTTCAGTCCTGCTGGCCATGTCCTTTGACCGCTATGTGGCCATTTGCCGCCCCCTTCATTATGCCACTATCCTCACCAATGAAGTCATTGGCAGAATCGCATCAGCCATGATTTGTCGCTGTGTTCTAGCTGTTCTTCCATCCCTTTTCCTACTCAAGCGCCTGCCCTTCTGTGACTCCCGCCTTCTTTCTCACTCCTACTGCCTCCACCAGGATATGATTCGCCTGGTCTGTGCTGACATCCGGATCAACAGCTGGTATGGATTTGCTCTAGTTTTGCTCATTATTGTGTTGGACCCTCTCCTCATTGTGCTGTCCTACACACTCATTCTGAAAAGTATCCTGGGCACAGCCACCTGGACTGAGCGGCTCCGAGCTCTCAATAACTGTCTGTCCCATGTTCTGGCTGTTCTGGTCCTCTATATTCCCATGGTTGGGGTGTCTATGACTCATCGATTTGCCAAGCATGCTTCTCCACTGGTCCATGTTATCATGGCCAATATCTACCTGTTGGCGCCTCCTGTGATGAACCCTATTATTTACAGTGTAAAGACTAAGCAGATCCGCCATGCAATCTTCCATCTCCTCTTCCTGAGGAAAGTGCACTAACTACTGGGATTTAATTTTACTGTAGTAATTTTATCTAATAACATGGAGTCAGGAGCAGGAACTACAGCCATCAAAACTGTAAGTAGCATAGATGGGGGAAGGAACGGGTGTTGTATAAGAAGCTTCCAATGTAAATTTAGAAAAATCATTATTCCTGGACTAGAATCGAAAGACCTAAAGTTCTTAAAACTCTACACTTCACTAGCCATATGACTTTGAGGAAAAGTATTTAAAATATAATTAAAAATATAATCCTTGTTCTGCTTTCTTCACAGTGGTGTTGTTATTAATCATATGGTAAACTATAAGATTCTGCTTTATAAACTCAAAATGTTCATTGTTGGATAAACATATTTATTGAAGCTGTAACATGTTCATGCTCTTACAAATAATTTCTATAGCAAATGTCAACTTTTAATTAAACACAGGGGGCTCATGTAATCTTAATCTGTAGTAACGAAAGAGAACCTTCATAAACTAGGATGTCAAACTGAAGAGAGAAAGACCATTGCTGGTATCCGTGCTACCTGGAAAAGAAATGAATGTCAAATGTCAGGAGTCAGAATGGAAGTAGCCTGAGAGTTTGAGAAACTGTTGAACCAATTTTCAATGCAGAGTTCACCTAAACTCAGTGGTGGAAGCAGCATTCAGAGAGATGGAAACTCCTGCCGAAAGAAGATGGCAGACATAGATAGGAGCTACAAGACAGACATCGCCGGAAGATATACGTAAAATGAGCTTGAATGTTAAACTGTGAATATTTAGAAACAACTAAGAATTATTGAAAATTAGACTTGCTTTCTAAACAGGTTCAAACTGTACTCCTATTTTGTTGGGTAACTGATTTTTCATCATGACTTGTTAATAAATGAGCTGAAAAAGTTGCTAAACTTTTTGCAGGCACAGCCTTTTCATTTACTGTGCACAGTAAAATGTGCACAATTATACCTCTGTAGCTGGTTTTAATAAATATTAAATAGAAAACACGTAAACTGCATTAGGGTTTCAGGGACACTTTTGATAAAAGAACATGAAGTTAAGAGGAGGGTGTACTCAATAAAACTGTGAAAAGTATCAATGACCGGCAAAGAATGAGGACTACGTAACTAAAGAAACACCACTGTTTAGAGTACAGATTGTTCTTAAATGTTATTTTCTTCCCTTCACTAATGCCATTTCCGTGAAATTTTTAATTGTTGTTCACATGAGTGTGTATATAAAAGGTCCGGGGGATGCCCACTCACTCACCTGGGAGATCAGCAGTATCTCTTCTGCTACACCTCCCACTTCTCAACTCTCAGACCCTGTAAACAAGATCCTGTACATTGTTCTCAGCAAAAGAAACAATTCAGGAGAAAACAGAAGTCAGTCTCAGAAATGCATATGGGTTAATAATCCTTCTGGGAAAATTTTACTCTTTTAACAGTCCCAACTTCAGCACCATATTCAAGGGGGATGCCAGGACGTTAAATCTGGTCTTAGAGTGCAACTCATTGAGGATGGGCTCCACGTGATTGCCCAAGGTCTGCTGATCCATCTTCTCCCAAGTTGTGAGATCAAAGGCAATTGCTCACCCTTAATTATTTATTTTCAAAACTAAGTTATTAGCAAATATGTCTTTTCCTTACTACATAATTTGATTTGTGGATCAAAGAACATAAACATACATTACAATAACAAGAATCTGCTGCTGAGTACAATCTGCTGTCATCACCTAAATAAAACCTTCCAAAATATATGTAATTCTTACATATTTCTCATGGTTATGACTTTCCCTTTTTCCAAAAGGATATAATCAGAATAGGCTTGAATAAAACCAACCCTCAAACAACATAGTATCTGTCTTTGCCCCTCCTTGTTTTTTAATACTGCTAATACTATTATTATCACTATCATTGTTATTATTATTATCAATGAGAGAGGAAAGCAACCACTGCTAACTGAGGTGCTCCAAGTTACAGAATTAAGTTATGGCAATAGCCCCAGGCAAATGAAATATTATATAAATTGTGAAAATTAGGAGTTTTAGGCTCAGAGAGGAAGTGAACTTCCCATCGTTACACGGCTATCAAGTGGCACAATTTTCAGGAATGTGCCTGGCCCTTTGTCTTCTCCCTCTATCTCCTTTCTCTCTCGGCAGCCTCATTGATTCTCATAGCATCAATACCCTTATGTATATATATAACTCCCAAATCCGTATCCATAGCTTCACATTGTCTCGATCTCTAGAATTATATACCCAATTTTGATATCTGTTAAGATGGTGTACCACCATCTCAAACTCAGTCTGTCTAAAACTATACTAATTACCTACTACCCTCAGTATTAGTCACACCCTCTCACCACCACACCCCCCCCCCCAACTCCCCACCACACACACACACAAAATACACACATTTACTTTCTGGTAGTATTCCATACCTCAGTAAGTGCAACTTCCCACATACCCCAAAATTAGAAACCTGGAAACTTGTCTATCAGTGTATCCGCAGAGACAAGCATAGATCATGGCTTATACTAAATGTCTGACTAATATGTGCTGCTAAATTAATAAACTCTTTTTTGTTTGAGGAAGATTAGCCCTGAGCTAACATCTGTTGCCAATCCTCCTCTTTTTTTTTTTTTTTTTTTTTTTTTGCTGAGGAAAACTGGTCCTGAGCTAACATCCATGCCCACCTTCCTCTACTTTAAATGTGGGACACCTGCCACAGCGTGGCTTGACAAGCAGTGCTAGGTCCGTACCTGGGATGCGAACTGGCAAACACTGGGCCACCAAAGCAGAACATGTGAATTTAACCTCTGTACCACTGTGCCGGCCCCCAAATTAATAAACTATTGACTCTACTTTTCTCAGTCAACACAGTTTCCCATTCAAAGAGTTGAACAGGTCTTGTTTATTCTGTCTCCTTAATCATTTTCAATATCTTTTATTTTTCTCCATTTTTATTACTTCTAATCTTATCCAAATGACCATCATCTGTTGCCTGAAATATTTCAGTGTCTTAACCAGTAGTCCTGCATTCAGTCTTGTCACGTCTCCAGTATACTCTTCAAGCCGCAGCAATCTTAAAAGTAAAACTACAAAGGGGAGGGATGACTAGGCAGAGCAGAGGAGATTTTCAGGTCAGTGAAAATTCTGTATGAAATTATAACGATGGACATATGTCATTACACATTTGTCCAAACCCATAGAATGTTCAACATCAAGAGTGAAAGCTAATGTGAACTATGGGCTCTGGGTGATTGTGATGTGTTGAAGTAGGTTCATCCTTGGTAAAAATGTACCATTCTGGCGAGTGCTGATGGTGGAGGCTATGCATGTGCAGAAGCAGAGAAAATATGGGAAATCTCTGTATCTCCTTCTCAATTTTGTTATATGTCTAAAACTGCTTTTGAAAAACAAAGTCTTGGGGCCCACATGGTGGTGCAGCAGTTAAGTGGCACATTCTGCTTTGGTGGCCTGGGGGTCACTGGTTCGGATCCGGGGTGCACACATAGCCCCGCTTGGCATGCCATGATGTGGTAGGCATCCCACGTATAAAGTAGAGGAAGATGGGCACGGCTGTTAGCTCCGGGCCAGTCTTCCTCAGTGAAAAGAGGAGGATTGGCAGCAGTTAGCTCAGGGCTAATCTTCCTCAAAAACAAAAACAAAAGAAACACAAAATCTTTAAAAAACGGAGAGGCACAAGGAAACTTTTGGAGATGATAGAAGGTTGTGGTGATGTCATGGATGTACACGTATGTCCAAACATCAAATTATATAGGTTAAATATGTGCAAGTATTTGTATTTCAATTACACCTCAATAAAGCTGTAAAAAAATTAGTACAATAATTAATTTATTTAGGACAATAAATAAAAAATAAAACAAACCAAACTTATTCAATTATAGTTGTGTTCCTGGTAGTTTTCACCTTTGAAAGTGTTGCCTGACTTCTGAGCTGGATGATGTAGCCTGTATGAGAGCAATACTCCAGCTGAGAACAACCAGAAAAAGCATTTTTAAAAATAATTGCGAGAGTATTTTTGCAAAGGCATCAGCAAAATGTGAAACAGTGGCAACATTATAGAGAGTGGAAAGGATTAGAGAAGTGAGCTGACTTCTAGAGACATCTTTCCCTGGAGGTATGTGTCAGTTCTCTGCAAGGGGAAAACGGTGATCATTTGGTGTTTTTCCAGACACAGAGAAACTCCTGGGAAAAGGAGAAAGCAAGCAGGACAAAAGGTGATCCACATGTTGGAGTTAACAGAACAGAGAAGGACTTTAAAACAACCAGAGTTAATCTGATTAGAATTTTCAAGAAATAGAGGAAAAGATGGAGTAAGTTGATGAAATATATAATGGAGAAATTCACCAAAGAATTGGAGTCTATATGAAAATAGTCAAATGGAAATTCTAGAGCTGAAAAGACAATACCTAAAATAAAGAAATTAATAAGTGCATTTAACAGAAACTTAAATGCAGCAGAAGGCTGATCAGTGAACTGGGAAACAAGTCAATAGAAATAGTCAAACTGAAACACAGAAAAGTAATTGAAACTATAAAATATATGTGGGACATAAAGACATATAAATTATAATCTCTGGAAAACAAATGTGGTTGTGTAATGTTTATTATTTCAATGATCATGATATGTATAGAATATACATGTATATTTTTACATATATATACATAGACACACATTTTAATATTTTTATCACTTGGTCTCTTTCTACTTTTATGTTATTGCAAATAAGGCTAAGTAACTATTTTTAGCATAAAGTTTTATTCACATTTAAAATGATTTCTTTATCATTCTGTTCCAGAAGTGAATTCTATGACTCAAAGCATGTGAATGATTTAAAATAGTGACTATGGTCAAATTGTTTTCCAGTAATCATTGCACGTTTCACTTCCTTCAGCAAAATACGAATGTTTCTCCATTGTGAAGCCTTTATCTGCAACACATGTTGTCATGAAAAGGCCTCTGCTATTTTGAAAGGTTAACAACACTGCTTATG